CATCTCCAGCAGAGCAGGGCCCATCACGCGTAACGGTTCCTTGGGAAGACAAACACCATCACTCCAGATGTTCCCCCTTCCTCCTTCTTCCTCCCACCTTATATACTGAGCATGATGTCCTATGGTATGGAATATCCCTTTGGTCAGTTTGGGTCACCTGTCCCAGCTGTGTCTCCTCCCAATCTCCCATGCATCCCCAACATCCTTGCCAGTGTGGCAGTACAGAAAGCAGCAAAGGCCTTGGCTCTGTGTGAGCTCTGCTCAGCAATAACAAAAACATCTCTGCATTATCAACTCTGTGTTCTGCACAAAACCCAAACATAGCCTCATACTAGCCACTGTGAAGAAAGTTAACTCTACTTCAGCACAAACCAGCACATGTGCTCATCTCATGAAATGAGAGTCTTATTTCCACCAGCTTCCTTGGAGCCGTGAGTTTGTTTTCAAAGCAACTATTCTAATTGGGTAATTTAGAGAGGCATGAGCAGAGCTTACCCTCTTCAGGTCTTCTTTCTTTATCTTTAAAAACATGTCTAGAAGAAATATCATATGAAATAAAAATCTTCAGGAATGAGAAAAGACTTTATAGAAGCTTTGTACTGACTTCATTTAATGCAAGGGCTTTGTGGATTATTTTTTTCCTCGTTGTTTGTACATAGCAATGTTAAGTGAAAAATGAACAAACATTCATGGAAATACTGTAATACTGGAAGCCGAGGCATTTCCTGAAGTGTGGGTTAAATTGTTCTGAGGCAACTCTTCCTTAAGCCAGGAAATGCAGATCTTCCTGTGAAATAGTTTCCACAGCAGGTTTCTCCAACCTGCCAGGTGGAGACTGTGCTGTCATTTTAGACACCCAGCAATTGCTGTTGGAGCTGTGGCTGCTGAGGGCAGACCACGAATGACCAGGGACATGCCAATCAGCAAACGTGGGAAACCATCAGAATACACTGATACGAGTTTCAGCCAGTCCAAGCTGAAGTTCAGAGAAATGCTTGCATGTAGCATATGAATAATGAAGATAATCTGTTGAAAAGAAATGTTTCACACAAATTACTTTTTTCGTCTGCTAAGTTCTTCTGTGGAGGGGAATGTAAGTGTTGAATTGTGACATTAATTTTGAATTCTGTTTCTCTTTCTTGTTTGTGATTTGCAGTGTGTGCTGTACTTGTGGGCCTTGAAAATCCTTTACCCCAAAACACTGTTTTTACTTCGTGGGAATCATGAATGTAGACATTTAACAGAGTATTTCACATTTAAGCAAGAATGTAAGTCTGACTTAAGTTTCTCTGCTTAACTGCTTTTTCAACAACTTAATTTGTTATTTTGTGAGTATTTGGTACTGGTTCACCATCAGTAATTTTTAATGTACTTTTCATATTAACTATAATAAATTTTAAATTGTAATCACTTTCCCTGAGAAGACAGTCTTCTCTCTGGGGTGTGAAAAGGAAGGATTTAGACCTCTCACAGCAGGTAGTTTGCACCCTCTGTGCAAACTTGGGGGTGACACTTGGTGCTGCAGGTATCAAGACACTTCAGCTTGCCAGCCTGGCCTGGGAAGCATCCTGGGGCTGCTGTGGGGCCAGCTGGGCCTGGATGCTCTCAGTAAACCTGTGCTGCTGCTGTGTTTTGCAGCAGCTCTGAGTTTGCTGCCCTGTGCAGCAACCTGTTGAGAAAAACCCACCAGCATGCCAGACTTGGCACCCCTGCTACAGGTCCGTGGTTGCTAGTGAAGGAGGCAGCATCTCATTGGGCCTCATCTGCAGCAGAAGGAAAACGCAAGGAATTTTTGTTTTTCCTTTAAACATAGCATTTTCACATTTACTCTGTACGTTGGCTTAAACTTTTTGACATGCTTGTTTTATATGTATTCCTTTCTGTGTTGCAAGAAATGATACAGTGACACATAAAAGCTCATTAGATGCAGACCTTCACCTGCACAATAAAGCTTTTCTTTTTTCCTGTGGTTCTGTAAGCTGAAGCTATTGCCATAAGTCTGTGTTTCCTTTTTAGCATCAGGGTTAAAGGAAATGTTCATTGGTTCAAAGGCTTCATGGTTTACTGAGTTTAATATGCTTATTGGTAAATTAACATTTCAGCTTCATTGTGCCACCTCATTCATTTAATAATTGCATTTCTGTATGCAATTAATTATAAGGGACTGTGCTAAAGTTTTGGCTATTTCATAGGGAGTATATTGAGTGATAATGCAGTAGATGCTAACCATTCAGCAGATGTTTTAAGGGTTGCGGTACAGATTTCATGGCAGACTATATTGGTATATTAAGTTGTTTGTTTACAGCTTTTTTTGAAAAATTATAATAAACTTAGCAGAACTTTTAATAATTTCACCTCAGAATATGAAGAATTTTTCCATGAAGCAAACTTTGGGTACAGTCCTTACTGCAAGGTAGAGTAGTGAGAGCAAGACTGAGATATTAATCATATTCTTTTTTTCCTCTTAAGTATTGATGGCTCTTTCTGATACCATCTTAATTTTCAAAGGTAAAATCAAATATTCAGAACGTGTATATGATGCCTGCATGGATGCCTTCGACTGCCTTCCCTTGGCTGCTCTGATGAACCAACAATTCCTGTGTGTACATGGTGGCTTGTCTCCAGAGATCAACACCTTAGATGACATCAGAAAAGTAAGTCTTTTAAGTGTTACCTATTAGCACAGTGTAAGCTCACTGTCTGATGATTCCTCATGCCTTATTGGGCATTCTGCACTCTCTTGGGGAAGATAGAAACATGGCTCTAGAAAAAGCCCACAATGCTTAAAACATAGAACAAAGAAGTGTCATATGATTGCAATTAATATAGTCAGTATTTTTTTACAAATAGTCAAGAGCTTCATTCTCAATAGGTCCTGCCATGTTTTTAATAGTTCTGCACTTGAGTGCCTAGCAAATTGTCTCAGTGAGGTTTAGTAAGTTCATGCTTGTGTGTACTCTTCTGTTCTGAGAAGTTTCTCAGAAGTCTCATGAAAGTTCAGAGCGCGATATGAAAGTTCCTTCACGTAATCCACTGTTGTTGCATGTTTCAAGGCTTAATTTTTTCAGCTGCTTTGTAGAAGAGATCTCAGTTGATATTTCCAAAAGGAGATATTTAAATCATTCATTCTTAATTTTTCCAGCAGAAAAAAAAAAGAAGTCTTGTTTCCTGTTTGCAGTTTGAGCCTTGCAAACATGGATAAATACTTCAAATTAACATTTAAGTTACTGAAAGGTAATTTATATTCTGAGCTTAATTTGTAGTCTACTAAGAAATTAACATGGTTTAAATAAAACCAAACTTGAGCCAGTGATTACATGTTTTGATTAAAAAGCAATTAGTCTAAGATATTAACTGCACTTAAAAAAATTTACTGAATGTAAAGTTTTGCTTCTGACTTAAACATTCTCTATCTCAGTAAACAAAAATACTCTCTGCCTAAAAATTAGCTGGCTGTGCAGCAACATAATGGCAGAGTGAAGGTGTTTGGCTATCAGAGTCTAGATTAGGTTTGTTAAGATTTTCACCTTCCCCCTGCCCAGCCCAGCAGGTTTGTTCATCTTTGGCAATCAGCCGAAATTGTGCTTGCATATTTATGAATTTTTATTTCATTTCAATGAATTGTAATTGCATAAGGATTAATTGGAGAGGGCTGAAATAAATTAGAAGTGTAGGTATTCTGTGAGTATTTCAAGATGAGAACACAAAAGTAAAATTGTAGATGTCTCTTATTTATTAAAACTTCTTAACTGAGTGTTGGAAATATGTAAACCTAAGTTTTTCTCTTTGAAATATTTTCTTGAGCTGGGGAAGGTCTGTTAGATGTGCTACTGAATCATTACTTGATCTTTCTGGTCAGAGTAGAGAATGTTCTGGACTGCAAGCCTTATTCATACACCCATCTTAACAGTGGGATTCTTACATGAAAGAGTTCTTGCATATAACAAGTGGTGGTTTTATATTAAAGCATTCTTGCAGGAGAATACTGATTTTTATTATTTCCCTATTTTTCTCTGCTTCATCTTATTTGCAGCATGATTCTATATCATTTAAAGTTTTAAATACCCATGGTCAGGCCACAATGAGGAGTTTTTAGCTGCTTAATTAGGGTTTAGGTTATGAGAGCAGCAAGAGTGTTATGGCAAGATGGTGTAATGCAGAGACATTGTCTTGTTTAAATACAATGGGAACTTGCTTTGAAGTAACTGTTATTTCTTGAGGTGCCTCACTCATATAAATTGAGTGCTATAAGGTTTGAAAAAAAACACAGAATACAGAAATACTATCTTCACTCTTTTCCACTGCAATGCTTGCAAAACCCAGTAGAAAACAGGAGAGAAAAGGCATACAAAAATTCATGTAGGATGGTAATCCACGTTATCTCTTAATCTTCAGTTATATCTGTTCCTGCTCCTCCTTGTCAGTGTGCACAAGGAATGTGTTGCTGTTATTCACAATCCGTCGCTTTAAAGCTGAAAAACAGATTGCTTTGTGTTTCGTTTGGCTGCCCGTGGAATGAAAAATAGTAACTTGGCTTCAATGTTTCTGTGATACATAGTTGAAAGAAGTTAGTATTTCTTTGTCTCCTATTTTCCTTAGTTAGATCGATTCAAGGAACCACCTGCATATGGACCTATGTGTGACATCCTGTGGTCAGACCCGTTGGAGGACTTCGGAAACGAGAAGACTCAGGAACACTTTACTCACAACACAGTTAGGGGGTGCTCGTACTTCTACAGGTGATTACTACTACTTTTAATGCGTTTCTGTAGGTGGACTTGTTCTGGTTTTACAGTATAAATGTTTGCTTGAACTTCATGGCACTACTGAGACAATTAGGCCATGTTTTTCTGCAGGCTTGCCTTGTTTTCTGATAACTCATGCTTGCTTCAGTTGCATCTCTTTCTTTAAGCTACAACTGGGAAACTCTAGATGACTTAATTTTATTCACCAAAGCCTCTGTACTTTGCTTTTTATTGTTCTTGTAAGTTAGAGAATGAATGTGTCACTTCTAAAAAGGGGTATATAACTACATGTCTAGTTTGAAAATTAGAACTTAATTTCGAATGAAAGACGCCAGCATTGGAAAACTGCTTACCTATTAATCTTCAGAGAAAGTAAAAATTGTGATTTCCTTCACACAGGTACTTTTGATAGAAGTTAGTATTTTTTTCTGCTTTTGATCCAGCTTTTGTTTATGTTTGGGAGTAATTCTTCCCAATAAATTCAGGATTTGAACATCATTTCTATGTATAGACTTAGATGCAAAGATGCTAAATTGTAGTCCATCTGTGAAAATATTGCTGTCTATTCATGTTTGTTAGTAAGATATAACTGAGAATATTCCTGAAAAAAGTAATAGTAGTGGGGCTAGAAGGACATCTAAGGCAAATCTGTGTGTTAGTTTGTGACTATTTAAAGGAAACTTTCTTCTCTGTTTATTTTCTGCTCAGTGATGATTGTTCTTGAAGCATGGGGATGGGATTTATTTCTCTTTTTCTGTAATGAATCAGAAGACTCTCTCCTGTACAGTAGAGGAGTGGATTTATTTTAAATTTTTTTTGCTACATTAGTTAAGGAAAACTTACAAGGACACCATAATAGCAAAACTAGCAGGGGAGGAGGTTGAATGACAAAATGAGCAGTGCATTAAGTGAAATCTTAATTTTAAAATCCGTTTTTTGGTCTGGGGAAATGTGAAGATGCCACTGAAATGTTAAGAAATCTTAATTTTAAAATCCGTTTTTTGTTCAGGGGAAATGTGAAGATGCCATTGAAATGTTAAGAGGTTGTTGAACTTTTTAAAGGGAAGCAGTTTTGCTTCAGCCCATGCTAGCAACACACAAGTCCAAGTTTTCCCAACAAACTCGGCAGAATGGAGGAATCCAGCTCTTTCACTTGTATTAGAAAATCTCACCTTGAACATAGCTGACCTGTAGCTGTTTAGTAACATGTCAAAAGTAAATCAATGGCTTCCACCAGTAACCCAGTGACAGAGCTGTTAGAATCAACCTCCTTGTTAGTAATGTTAGCAGAAAGGTAACAGATGGTTTGATGTTTAGAAATGAGTTTTCCTAGTGCTTTCTTTGAGCTGTAATTGCTGCAGTGTGGGGACAGGCTGAGTACAAAGCAGTTTGCACTGCAGCCTGGACTGCTGGCACCCACGTTTTGTGGGCAGCTTGTACCTGAAAATGTCTGGAAGGTGCTCAATGGATGTGTTTGGACTCATCATAAAAGACAGTGTCAAACTGTTGCAAACAATTGATCTGTGCAGAAATGGTTTTATGACTGAGGGCTAAAATAATTCCTCTTCCTCTTAGCAGCACCAAATGTTGGAGTGTGCCTGGAACTCCCTGGCACTGCAAAGAGGGAGTAATAGTGATTTCCCCTTGTGAAAAGCCTGGCAAGCATGCCTTGTGCTTAGATACAGAGCTTATTATATACTGGAACAACTTTTAGATTTGAGGTTGGGTTTTTTCCAGAGGTCTGCTTTGTACAATTACCATAAAATTTCCCTAAAATATGTATCAGTTTATTCCAGAAAATATATAGACCCGAGCTGTGTCCTGACTCATATTCAGAAAAATGTATATTTCAGGAGAAGATGGATTGTCAAAGTAGCACAATGCTACAGTGAAAAGTAACTGTGGAATATAAGGAATTCTTGAAATATTAACATTTCTGTACCTTAAAGAGAACAAAGAGCAATAGGGATGAGATTTCATTTCCCCTATTTGAAATTTAAGGTTACACGTCCTTTGCAGTCATGGTCATATCTGATGCAATTTTGTGAAAAAGTAGAAGTAATTGATGGAGTGCTAGCTGTGTAAATTGTTCTTTAATTATGGGTTAAGTGAAGCTTTTCTGTCATCCTTGCCCAAAATAATGTTGTGTTCCAGGTATGTTATGAAGAAGAGGGAATTCATTTGTCCCTAAGTGATATTAAACATACACATGTACCCACAGTTTTTCAGCTGATCCAAACAGTAAATACATTTTCCTTTTTGTTTATCAGATTATCTAGTTTTTGTCTTGAATTATATAACAAATATTTATTTTCACTTAGTGGCTTGTACTGATCTTGCCAATGACCCTTTGCACTTCTTTCATAGACTAGTGGTGCAATAACTCTCAGGCATTTCTGTAAGAAAAGTATTGGATATCAGGAGGAATTTCTTCATTGAAAGGGTGGTGAGGCATTAGAACATCTGCCCATGGGGGCAGTGGAGTCACCCTCTCTACAGGTGTTCAAGAAACAACTGGACATGGCACTAGTGCTGTGGTCTAGGTGACAAGGTGGTAATCAGTCAAAGGTTGGACTTCATGATTCTGGAGATCTTGTCCAACTTTAATGATTCCATGATTCTAAAATACCTGACTTGGCAGGATAAACTGGTACTTACTGTCTTGAGAATGAATTTTTTCAGTGTTCAGAAAGCTTCAAGAAGTCAGCTGAACTTTCTTTCTCTCTGAGAATAATACTAACTTACAGAGAGACATCCACTAAGTGAGTTTAGGGCATTGTTGAGGTATGGGGGAAATTCTCTCCTTTCTAAGCCATGCTGGGATGGGGAATGTCATAATTCCCATAAGATTTACTGGATGGATGAAGAATTAAAATGTTCTTTCATCCCATTCAGACAAAGTTACTATGAACATGTATGGTTCTACCCATTAAAATTTGTGACTGAATCCACACCCAGCTTGTTTCATTTCCCCTGTGTCTAAGCTGTGTCTAAACCATTGAGAGCTTGGTCATAGCACTGAGTTAATTAGTGTCTTAGCATATGCAAAGTATATCAAGGGTATCCTGTCAGGGCTAGCACATCTGCAAGCTTAACGTAAGCTTTCTGGGATGTGAGTAAGATTTGATTAATTGCTGTTAGCAAGAGCAGGAAGCAGCATGAGCCTGGCCAAAGTCAATGGAAGGCCTGAGAAATAGAGCAGATCCTCAGAAGTTTTGTGCAGGCATGGTGCTGCAGCCTCTCGGGGGGGTTTGTGAGTTGAATATCAGTTCTTAAGGAGTGTTGAGCTTTATAAAAGCTTTTTGGCTGTTGACTACCTTGTTATATTTTTCAAATCAACAAAAAAACAAAGACAGAAATGGCTAGCAGCAGCAATTCTTAGAAGAGTGGCAGCTCTTCTTCATTCCCCTGCCTTGGAGAGCTGTGAAATGGTTCGGCCTTACAGATACTCAGGGCTAGAGTAATAATTTTGGCCCTGCCAGCACATCATTTCAGTGGGGTACTTGGCAAGCAAGTTAAGTTTGTGAGTATGCAGAGACTAGAGAAATGTCACCTAAAAGCTTTTGAAGACTGTAATGTGTTTTGGCTCAGAGTGTGAGGCACACTTTTATGAATTTATTTTCTTTTTTTTCCATAGCAGTATTTTAAAGAGAGACTATTGCCCACTTTTCCACTCTTCCTTCTCCCAGGCCAAAAGGTTTTTTGCTGCCCTCACATCTTCTGTCAAGCTCTATTGGTAGAATTGCTCGTATGCTCCATCAGACCTGGGAACACATCCAGTTTTAAAAGAATGACTCTGCAAAAAAGATATGTGTTTATTTGTTCTAATCCCATGCAGTTCCCTGCTGCAATTCCAAGTGCAGCTCTGCAGACAGCACATCTAAGGGCAAGAAAAAGCAGGTGGAAAGGGATGCTCTGGGAGCTTCTTAGGACACCACAGCAGCAGAAACATTTGCCTTTGGAAACTGAAGTATGAGGCCAATGGGCTTTGCTAAAAACCTATTTTTATATGTGCATATAATCTTAGAGAAGCTTTTGGACTCAATTTGAATGTCTTTTTAAAGAAATGTTTATGCCTCTGCTTTAATGGTATGATGAAGGATATGAAAAAAAAAAACTTAGATTAATTCAATCTAGTTTTTCCAGTTATTAGTAGAAGAACAATTTGAAAACATTTGCCGTTTTGGTTCATATTAACAGAGTATTGCTTCTCTTCCAAAGCTGCATGGAAGTAATCAGTGGTCATGCAAAAGAGACCTCAGAACTCGTAAACTATGCATGAGGTATTTTGATGAAAGAAGGATGCTGAAGTAGGGGATATCACAGTCACGTACTCCATGGGGAATAACATCTCTCTAGCTTAGCAGTGGGGTATTTTGTTTTCCCTGTGAGTCACCACTCTCCTGTGATTCAGCATGACACATGAAGTGCAGGCAGAAGGTTGGGTCGCTCTGGAAAAGCCTGTTGTGTGGGGGATTTCTATTTGTTTTCCCTTTTGGCCTGCTTTATTTCTGGCTCATCTGAATTACAGGCTGAGCTCTGCAAAGCACAGCAAGGAGGAGAGTGTTTCTGGAAGGATAGCACTCAGAAAAATGAGTAAGGAATTTGATTACAAGACAATCATTTTCATTAGAAAGATTAGGAAAAAAAATTCCAAGCAGAAGTAATTTCTGTAAAAGTTTGTTTCTGATAACTATTGCCATAATCTCTGTTTTATTGGCATTTTGCAGGACTTCCTGCTTTTAACCTGAAGGGCATGTATTTCTGTGTTGAGGAATACTGATTAATATATAAAGCAAACAGATATTAGGATAGTGCTGGATAGTATATGTAATAGATACATATGGAGGAAACTTTGCTTCTCTCCAGCCCCTACTTCAACATGCAGCTGAAGAAAAATGCCTGCAAGTTGCTTTGCATATTTCAAAATAAAATCTCCAGACAGACTGCTTATGGGCTGTAGTGGTCTAAGTAATGAGTGCTGGCACATTGCA